AAATAATTTATCGATCGGATTGAAAGATTAGATCGAGTTTCTCTCTCTCTCTTTCTCTCGAGGATTTTTTTCGATACTCGATTTTTATTCTTCCCTTGGAAGACCATCAATTATCGTAAGAGCTTCGTGATCGAGATTTTCCTCCAGTTTAACTTCCGATAAATTTTGGAAGATATCGAAAGAGGTAAAGCGTTTTCACAAGAGTGTGTTTCGAAAATTCATCCTTAAATCTCGTATAAAATTGAAAAATAAGCAATTAAAAGAAAATTATAAATAATATTGATTCGAAATTTTTATATAGTAACTTTTTATTTTCAAAAATCAATTCTTGAAGATTGTATCACAAAAAAAAAAATTAACATTCTGTTATAAGAAAGATTTGTTGAAAAATTTTTATAATTAATAAAAACAATTTTTACATTCAAATGGATATTATAAACACGAGATAAAATAAATAAGATTAAATATACAATATATATTAATTTTATAAGTCTCATTATTAAACAATTGAACTATTAAATTATAGAAACCAGTATAACCAGTATAACATCGGAAGAAAAAAAGAAAAAAAATGTTGCGAAGCGAGTAAAACATCTGGATAAAAAGAGAAAGAATCACTAAGAGTGCGTACGTGCACAAGAGAGAGAGAGAGAGAAAGAGAGAGAGCGAATGGTGACTACAAGCGTGTGTACGTTGGAACACGTGCGAGGGTAACTATCCTTAGGGTTGGTCAGTGTGTGATGAGGGTGGAATTTTTTAGAGAGAGAGAGAGAGAGAACTTGAAGCACGAACGAGGAAAACAGGTTCGTATTCGATTATATCGATCGTTTTTTTCACATACGTGTCGCATTAAGATTGATAGAACGAAACTGCTCATTGAAAATATCTCGTATAATTAAAGAGACTATCATGCACGATCTGTTCTCGTGGATAAAGATTGAAACACTGATTGTATTAATTTTCCAATGTATTCTTGTTCTATCAGGAACAACTTATTGCATTTCCATTTTGCCAACGTTATGGTAATCGCTTATACGTGTTCATGAATGAAAGAATAAAGGAACGATTTGCATTTTTTGCATTTAGTAAACTATTCGATTTAACGAGAGGAAAATTTGATAGATTATACTTCACTAGTTTTCTTTACATTTTTATTCTAAATACGCTGAGAAACATTTTTTATCCAGTTGTCGTTTAAATAACAGCGATTTTATATTAAAATTTTTTTTATAATTATAGTATGATCTATATTACGATAGTGTTTTATTAAAATATTAGAATATTTCTAAAATATATTGTGGTATAAATTCGTAAATGTAACGATTAAAATTGTTATGCTTTTCATCAAATTTAAAATTGAATTAAAAATTTTTAATATCTATCTAGTCTTAAATAATTATCTGAAAATTTACAAAAATTTGCGAAAATTATATTTAATCTTCCATTAATGATAAATATATTTTCGAAAGAAATCTAAATCTTAAACTCCAACAACAAGGGCCAAATTTAACCCACCGAAATTCAAGTTCTCCAATTAACTTACACCTGTTCAATAAAAAAAAGCGTAAAGATCAAAACTCCCGAAACGAAACGTTCACTAAATCAAAGCATATCACGCCAAGCAAAACAGTGCATTCCCAAGCAACCTCATTAAAGAGCCATCAAACGTAATTGGCATCAAATTTTCTCGTGGCGCTATCTCAAAACCTGTGTAATATTAATTTCATATATAACTCCTTCCTTCAATCTAAATTGAACTTTATTTAGCACCCTGCATTTCCACTCGTCCCGACATTTTAAATATTAACTTATTCGAGAGAAGTTTGTCTCGTTATTTGCACGTGTGATTTTAATGATTACGAGAGATCAGAAAATATATCAAAATTCCTGTTCTCCATGTATTCCATATCTATCGATGAATAAATATTTAAAAAAACTGATAATATTCCACATCGATGAGACAACTCGATGATAACACAGGTTTTAAATAAAAAGAAATATATATCTTGAAATATATTAAAATATAGAATAATTAAAAACATATTATTATAATCATAAAATTTGATCTATCTATATTATCATTCTAAAAAAATGAAGTGGAAAGATGTTCCTATAATAATTTTCATCTTAATACCAAATTTACATAACTCCAATTAATTGACATTATTCGTTTCCATTTCTCAAAATAAATTCAACCAATTCACCAACCCATAACCAAAAAAAAAAAAAAATCCAATACATCTCGCACCCTAACATACTATTATAATCATAAAATTTGATCTATCTACATTATCATTCTAGAAAAATGAAGTGGAAAGATGTTCCTATAATAATTTTCATCTTAATACCAAATTTACATAACTCCAATTAATTGACATTATTCGTTTCCATTTCTCAAAATAAATTCAACCAACTCACCAACCCATAACCAAAAAAAAAAAAAAAAAAAAAAAACAATTTCGAAATCGATCCAATACATCTCGCACCCTAATCCTAATCCTAAAGAAAACGTGGGAACATCGCGCCGCGATAATTCCTTTATCTCCAACGCTTCGAAATTACGCAACTGATTCGAGCGCGCGCGCGCTGCGACGAGGCCTCGTCGTGAAAACGTTCCTACCGGAAGTGCGTACTTTAATTAAACGCCGTTTCCTGCCTGTCATTAGCTCGGCCGTTTACGGAGCGGAGCGCGATTAGAGCGTCGTGTCGGCGGTCATTTCGGAGGCGGCGACCGCCACCGGTCCCTCCTCGACGCTTCCTCCTCGACGCAGAGGACGTCGTCGGATCACGGGTGGATCACGGGGTTATCTCGATACGTTTATTTTATTTTTATCTACTTACGCGGGAATCACGGCCTTTTCGATGCTCGCTGTACCGAGGAAATTTCTGGCAACGGGGAGGAAACCGACCTCGTACTTGGCTATCTGTTCATTCAGAGCCGATAGTATTTTCGTGTCGTCGCGTCGCGGATGTCACCACGTTGTTTGCTGCCTCTGCCTTTGAAGTTTCGAGTCGAGAAGCTCGTGATTTCTTATGGGATTGTAAAACGTGTAAAACGTGGAGTGTGATCATCTCAACGCTAAATTTTGGAGGGAGGGGGAATTTAGATTTCTCGAAATCACGTGATTTCGATTGTTAATAATGTTCTTGTTTTTTTTTCGTAGTTTTCATTTCATTTTTTATTGTATCTTGAAATAATTGCAAATAAAGAAGTCACGTATCTTTTTTGAATATCTAATTTTGAATGGTAATAATACTTTTTTTTTTTTTTTTTGAATATTTAAAATTAGATATTCGAGGAGATATACATTCTCGTTATTATATTGCGAAATAATTACACTACTTGTACAATCTGTATGAATATTCAATTATGTATTTTTAAACTAGATATCTGAAATATCCTTGTTATTATATTGTGAAATAATTGCAAATGTAAAACTTGTGTATTTTTTTGAACGTTTTATTTTGTAGTTTCAATTCATATATCTGGAAGTTAACGAATTAATGAATATTTCATGTTCAGAATATTTTTTGTTCAGAATATTTTTTTTTGTGATTTAAATATATAGAAATTATACAGAATATAATTTTCATGTTGCTATTTAATAATAATTTGAAAAAACGTGCAATATTAATGTTCAATTATGAGAAGATAATTTTGTATCTTGGAGAGACATTTATATTTGTTTAGAATATAACAAATTTTCTGAAATTATAGTTCTTTTCATCCTGTTCCACGAAAACTTTGAAACTTTGCTCTTCGAGATCGTAAATTTTATACGGAATTTAGAGGATTAAGGGAATCTTGTTACGGAAGGAAAATTTTGCCACCAAGTATTCTTGTTCAGAATTTTGCAAATACTGCAAATCAAGGTTAACACTGTCCTCCATTGAACAAAAGTATTTTTAAATTAAAATTTCAAGAACATTAAAATTTCGTTAATATTTTTAAACAATTTAAAGTTTAATCCTCATTGCGAATAAAATTGTACGATTTTTCCAAGCTCGCAAACAGCGAATATTGGTCGTTTCGAGTCGAGCAATGTGATGATCTTGAATGAAGTTTCATTCGATAACTGTTTGTGTGATATTTCGTGTGACGAGGCAGTTAAGATCGCTGTTAAATTTTTCCAGGAAAATAGCTTATATTAATAAGGGAATAATTGTATAGATTGTGTGACAGTGTTTGATTGATGGGACTGAAGCATTCACGATCCAGAATTTCATACTCTGCAGAGTGTTGTGGAGGGGAGTGCATGCGTACCATTGCTCTTCCACCTCTACCTCCGACTCTACATGCACTCGGTAGTCATCTTGTTTCGTGCATTAAGAACCGAGAAAAAAACGTGTTTGTGATCTCTTTTTCATACTCTATCGATCTCTCTATTACTGTTCTATCTTTTATAAATTTGCTTGTTACGATAGATTTTCTTTAGAAAATACAATTTTTCTTATAAAGCTGATATAAATACGATAACTTTAACTTTAATTATTAATTCGTTGTACGTAATTGATTTGCAAATTTATATTTAATTTAAACAAAATATATATATATATAATTTGCAGGTAATTAAATATTTAAGTTTCGAATAATGATAATAATAATAATTATAATTATTATCAACGAATAATAATAATTATTAATTCGTTGTACGTAATTGATTTGCAAATTTATATTTAATTTAAACAAAAAATATATATATATATATAATTTGCAGGTAATTAAATATTTAAGTTTCGAATAACGTAATTTTTAAAACGATATAACATTTATTTAAAGCATACAGTTTCCAAATAAATATGAATTATTGAATAATATTCAATCTCTCTAGTGTCGAAATTTAATTCATATTATTTATCAACTTGAACGTTTATTACATTTGTCAATAATCAATTCAACATCTATTTTAACTTATCATTTTGTGATAAATGAAACGAAACATTCTTTCTATTGAAACGACACCGATTCTTTCCATAGAAAAAAATAAAAACTTACATACCAGAACAAATGGAAGATTCGTTCTCAAATCGAAGTGGAATTCTTTTTTTTTTTTTTTTCTTTTTTTTTTTAACAACCACCAAGAAACACTTTCTTTCCTCTCCGTGGATCGATACGTTCCTGGTCGATTTTCCTCTGGGGTGCAACACAAGATCAACCACTTTTTCTTCCCTCCCCCCTCCCCTCCCAAACCAGATCACCGAATCACCGAGTCCTCAAGCGGGGTGAATCATCGTTGACAGCAGCTCGATTCACCTCCGAGGGATATAACCTCGCAATATTCTTTCGGATTTACCCTCCTCGACGCACCATTTAGTTCGTTGATCTTTTCCTCGACACGACTAATATAAACACGTACCGTTACCAGATACAGCTGTCGTTAAACGAACGAGACACGCGAGGTGAGTAGAAAGAGAAGTATCCGACTTTCAATCTGTAATACGTATACGCGCGTCGATAATCAACTTTTTCCTCCCTCCACGATATATATTATCATCTGTGAACAGGATTAATCTACAAATTTCACCTTGTGCACGTTTCATTAACGATTAACGTTCGATTCACATTCGATGCCTTTCGAGGCACAAGACGAAGGTGTAAAAATCATAGAGACGAATACACGTCGAACACTTGTCACGTTGATTTACAGATCCACCTATAGATAGAATGTTTCCAGTCGAAGATGAAAGGAGGGGGAGGAGAAAAAAGGAGTTTCTTTTTTCGTGGCTGGCCAGTTTCGTTCACTATTCACTTCTCATTTATAACACTCAAAGACCACCAACTTTCTCTTTTGTATCGATAGAAGAGCGATATATATATATATACACGTGGCAACAGTTATCTTTTACGTTAAACTCTAAAGGAAAGCGAGGAGGGCCTTGCCCTCTCGATCCTCAATACGGCACCACGCTGGTAATCCTCCATCTCCAAAAACTTTCGTAGAGGATAATTTTGTCAAGATAACGTCGTGACGGGGTGAAGACGTTGGCCCGGGTCAGGAACGCCACGTGACGACTACGATGACGTAGACCGATCCTCCTTCCCCGACTCGGTGTTCAACAACACCCCGTTCAACATTCCGGTTTTCGAGGGGACGAGTCCAACGAGCGTGCACGATGAAAATCGTTCCTTGTTCCGTGGAAACGATTGCACGATTCGATTACGATTAAAAATCAGAAATTCGTAGAAACGCAACAACGACGAAACGTGTTCTCTCCCGAGGAACAACGTTCTTCGAGGCGATCCCGATTGTCTGAACCGGCGACGATCCGCGGGATCGAAGGGCAGGTCCGGAATCGAGGGGGTGAAAAGGCGCGCGCGACAGTTATCCTTGTCCGCGATACGCCGCTCAACTCACGTGGCGGTGTGGTCCGAGCCCTCGTCGACGGTGACCACTTCCTCGAGGTTTCGGCCAATCAGCGGTGAGTCAGAATACCCCGAGCGACGCGATCGTGTATTCCCGCCGGTGTTCGGCCGCGCTCGGCCGCTCTCCGTCCTCGTCCCACTCACGCGTGCCGCGTGGCCGACGACGTACGGTCCGTGACTACTTTTACGAACGGCCTGCGCCTACCGTTCACGAACGGCCACCTACTACCCAACACTGGCGGCTCCGCACCGGCGAAAAAATCACGGGGCCTGGCCAGCCCCGTGGACACCGGCGATATTCCCCCTCGAAGCCGGCAGGGCCGCGTGGACACACAAGGGACCGGGCCGTGTGTGGTGTATCCTCCTGGTATCCGCAGCGCACCGCTTCCTGCTTTCCACGCGTGAAAGCACGCGCTGCCTCGCATCGAGCGTGCGCCTCGTCCAGCGTCCGACACGATACTACCTCTCTCCCCTTCCTCTCTCTCTTTCTCACTCTCCCCACGCCCCCTCCACCAACTCCGCTAGCTCTGTCTCCCTCTTGCCACGATTTCTGCTCTGCTCCGGGTAGGGACGAGGCTCGTGGGGAGAGAGGCTGGCTGGCTGGTAGCCGCTCATTAAACAAACGCCTCGATGACGTCAGGGAGTGGACGACACCGCGGGACCATCGAAAATCGATCGATGATAGGGGGAGGGGGGAGAGGAATGACACGCGAGTAGATCTCGTACGTAACCGCTCGTCGAAGGATTTTTGTGCCTCGGGGGGAGGGGGGAGAAGGAGGAGGAGGAGGAGGAGGAGGGCACGCGATCGGTCTCTATTCGATCGTCCGTTTCTACTGCCGGATAGCCGGTCAAAGCTGATTCCCGGCGCAAGCGTTGTTGCCTCGTCGGTGAACGCTTAATTGGAAACTTTTGTGCAAATCCTTTGCCGCGTATTTTTAGAACGAGTTGCGCGTTCCCGGACCAACTCGGCCATCGACGGATTTATCGAGATTAATTGGTCGTTTATTTCGTACGTGATTCTTGTTTCGGTTTTCTGATAGGCGAGATTCCGATTTCTCTTGATATTTTTTTGCTTTTGCTGCGATGTGAATAGGGGATATATTCGTTTCGGAACTATTCAACGGATTGGAAAAATGTTTTTGTTTATAGGAATTTTTTTTTTTTTAGAGAATTATTTTATTGCTGTGCAATGAATGAATGGCGTTGAAAAATTCTTTTACACGTTCTCGAAAAATTGTTAGCAACGATTCATATCACAATGGAACTTTAGAAATATCTTTTAAATCTTTCAGAGAGAGAACTTATTTTAAAATTAAGATACAAATCTTATCTTTCTAATTTATATTTTATCATTTACATAATTTATAATTCGCATGCAATAATAATTTCTTATATATTTATAGGTATAAAATTTTATGCATTAATTAAGCAATAATTTTTTCAAAAATTAACAATTAAAATGAATACATCATCTATGATGTATCCTAAAAATTCATTGGAAAGCAAGATTGGAAGAAATTATTAGAGTTAATATAATTCGACTTCGTAATTTTATTACCAAGTTTGCAGACAGTTTAACGGCTTATAAAACGTTATGTCACACGAAACGATGACAGGTTGCTTTCCGATTTCAGTCGGTAAATCTCCGCGGTGTGATCTCTATATTTATACTGAACGCGAAGTTTGATAGCGTTTGTTAAACAAACATCTCTATGACATCAGAAAGCATTGGCGAGCCATCGGAAAAATCGGTCGCCGCCACATTAGCGACAGTTATTGATCGCTCGATCTTTTGTGATTCGAATTACACGAGTGTTGGATTGCTGTTTCTTTTTCTGATCGTATTGTTAGAAAATTGATTTCAAATTTATTATAAATTTATTATTAATTAATTTATTATAAAATTTGTGATTCGAATTACGCGAGTGTTGGATTGTTGTTTCTTTTTCTGATATTGTTAGAAAATTGATTTTATGAAATTTATTATAAACTAAGATTGGCCGAGATAATGTTTCATTCGTATAGTTATTCAAATAATATTCTAATTTTCGTGTTATTTGTATTATTCGTAATTATTTGATTATATTCGTATTTGAAATTTTTTAAAAATTACGATTGGATTTTCAATAAAATATATTCCATTTCTCGATTCTATAAATTTTAATGTTTTGTCACGATTACGATACTTTTAATTCTATTACATATTTATTTTTAAATTTGAGTTTTCAAATTTGAATTTAACTCTTGGATAAAAAACTTAATTCCGTTTAAGAATGATAAATAAATTTGTTTTATTATTGGGATCAAAACGTGATTTTAAACGTATACGAGAAATTTCTCGTGAAACGTGTTATTTTATATATTGAAATTTCTACCTTGCTACTTCCTTATCAGTAATAAAATGTTGTTATCATACTTCCTTACACCTAATACATCCCATATTAACTACTCCATACTATATACTTTACCGAGAGAAGATAAAAAAAATTCTTTAAATTACAAGGAAATCGACACCGCGAAATTCGAGTTAACAATTTCCTCGACGACTTGTTAAAAAATTACATTCCTTTTCAATTCGGATACGTATCGGATAATAATTTTAAAATTTACCTTTAATTATGATCTGGTGTACCACCTAATTTAAAGTTTGTGCAGGTATAAAGCGGTTCATTGACACAGATTCCAAGTTTTTCTTCATTGCCACCGTTGCGACATGGCGGCACTGGTGATCCTTTCTTGTCTTATTTTTCTGTGATCAACGCCGGCCTACGCAATCTTCGTAACCGCTAATTAAACAAAACTTTCAGATGACGCGAGTATCATCGAAAATCTCCTCGTTCGTTCAATAATTGGCACACGATGATCATTCGTCCATTGTTCTCTCATAAATAAATCTCATTCGCAACGTTCTCATAAATTTATTCCGATTGATGGTAAAATGAACGATAATCGATAATTTTAAACGTCTTTGTATGAAATAATTATGGAAAATTATTTAATTCGTCGATGAGATTATCAAATTGAATTTGAGAAGTTTAAATCGTGTAGTCGAAAAGATATTGTAAATATAAATTACAAATTAATTCTATTAAACATTTTCGAAATAATACTTCGCTCATCGAAGTATATTTTCTTATCGTATCATTCTAATAATATTCTCGTTCACTTATTTCTCACTCAATCCACCTTACCAGCCAAATAATTATCCATAACAATTCCTCTAAAATCCCTAATGTTCAAGGAAGATATTTACTCACACACACACATACACATACACGTAAACACATTCTCGAATCCAGCAAGTTCAAGTTCTAGGTCGCCAGCACTTCGCCTTTCACGCGAAACCGTATAATCGGCCATCGATGCTCAACAAAAATATCGATAAATCGAGCGCAAGAAGTTATCGACTTATGCCGTGTTCCATTGCTTAATCGAAAATCACAGCGGCTTGTTTTTTCACGCTATGAATAATGGCCGCCACCTCGATTTCTGGCCGAGAAGAAACTCGGAGGAGAGGAGGAGAGCATTGGTGTAGCATTCATTAAACAAACGCCGTTCCGATGACGTCAAGAATAACCGCGCTCCCCTTGAAAAGTACTCGCGTAATTCGCGCCTGGGAATATTATTGATTCTACTCGACTCATCCGCGTATCGCCAGAGCTGGCTCGAGAGCTTCGAGGCTAATCTTTCGGATTGGAAATGAAAATTAATTTTTTTTTCCTTTTTTTTTTAAATTGGAATTATTCTTCAAAATTAACGTATTTGATTTTTTTCTTTT